AACCTAACCAACCCTTAACACAACGCTAACCACAATCCTAACCCTAACCCCAACCACAAACCTAACCACAACTACAACCCTAACCACAACCCTAACCACAACCACAACCACAAGAGCTATCACATTTCAATCTTATTGCTAAACAAATCTTTTATGACCTAACCTTAACCACAACAACAACAACCACAACAACAACAACCACAACAACAACGACCACAACGACAACAACGGCGACAATGACAACAACAATAACAACAACCACAACAAAAACAATAACAACAACCACAAAAAAAACAACAACAACCACAACAACAACAATAATCACAACAAACAAAACAACAACAACATCAACCACAACAACAACAACCATTACAACAACAACCATTACAACAACAACATCAATAACCCTAACCACAACCCCAACCCTAACCATAACCAAAACCCTAACCACAATCCCAACCTTAACCACAACCCTAATCCCAACCCTAACCACAACCACAACCCCAACCCTAACCACAACCCTAACCTCAACCACAACCCTAACCTCAACCACAACCCTAACCTCAACCACAACCCTAACCTCAACCCTAACCTCAACCACAACCCTAACCACAACCACAAGGGCTTTCACATTTCAATCTTATTGCTAAACAAATCTTAACCACAACTGCAACGATAACGACAACCACAACAACAACAACAACCACAACAACAACGACCACAACGACAATGACAATTTATCAGATATACTAATTGAACCTAAACGCCCCGGTTTATGATCGTCTTCTTCTCGCTTTTTCCTAACTCGTGTTAAACACTCTTTTGCCAAATCTGCATTTGCTTTTTTTGGTCTTTTTCTCTGGAACTCTCTACCTACTTCTCTGACTACTTCTCCATCACTTGCAAAGTTCAGAGCGGATCTCAAGACCCATCTGTTTTCAAAATTCATTGAGGAGCGCTATTGAACATCGCGGAAATAGCGCTTTATAAGCTAATTGATTGGTTGATTGATTGATAGTTAACAGTTATAGAAACTCAATTCTATTTATTAATCATTAGCAATAAATAAATAATTTGAAAAATTTATATTAACTACATATACTTGAAATTAGGGATGCACCGAAGTTTGGCCCCGGTTAAAATCCAGCTTAAATCCGGCCACCGGGGCCGGATTTAAGCGTCTATCAACATTTAAAAATGTTATAAATAGAAATTTTTTTATTGAATTCAATTAATTTTACGTCAATAAGTTGAAGGCTAAGCATATATGACACATAATAACAACATCACTAATTGTGAGGTGAGCTGGACAATTTTCTTTATGTTATAACATGGGTTATGCATAAATTATGAGCTGATCTTTGTGTAAAAGAACTTGTGCACGTGTATATACTATATAATTGTATATAATGGATCATATAGCTACATATTATTTATATATATAGACATAAGCGCATAATTTAAGAACATGGTATGTTAAAGGTTAGGCTAGGCATACATGACACATAATTACAACATCACTAATT